AATTGTTGATGGCAGCGGACAGAAGAGTTCCGTCGACTCCCAGCTTCGATTTCACGGATTGGTGGCTGGAGGCCAGGAAATCAGAATGACAGCACATGGAAAGCATGTATGACATTTTTCCAGAGGATGCAGATGGGGCCACCTACTTGTACAAGGGTTGGCCGGCCTACCTGTAGGCCTGTAGGACCCCCCCAAAAAAGCACTGCTGCCTCACAATTCAGAACACTACAGCCATTGAGTGGCTGGCCGGAACATGCCAAACACATGCTGACAGCGGCCAGGTGTTTGGTGAAATGGGCATTCCGGAGCCTTGGGTTTGGGTTTTGGCTCGAGAGTGTTAGCCTCTCGCCGGTTTGGAGTCTCAAGGATGGGCTTTTGTCTAGGTCCTATATGGGTAGGCCAAGTCGTTCAAAGTGAAGAAGGCTTGAGAACGCAAGACTGAGACTTCACAGACTGAGGAGGCGAAGATCCGCAAGGCTTTGGTCATCGGAGACTGGACGAATTTCGAGAAAGCCTTCGAAGCAATGATGGAGTCGTGACAGCATGTGACAGCTGAGTTCCTCCAGGTTTGGGTGACCCTGGATCCATCTCGATCTTTCATGGAGCTGGGGCATCCCACCGTGAAGCACTCTTTGGGACGGCACATTGAGGTGGTTGATCGCGCTGACAGCGGCCATCACGAACGACCTTTCTTTAAGGAGACCGAAGTTTAAACCATGTGGTTTGAAGCGGCTTGCCTCGCACGAAAACAATTTCAAACTGCACACGGAGTACATGCTCCATGCTGCCTTGCACTTTTTGGTGCAACACCGTCAGTCAGATTCAATGCTTTAGTTTTGGTTTGTATTTTTCAGTGGCTGGCACCCAAGGCCCGCTTTGAAGCAGCCGGGCAGGAGCAGGCCAGGAAATAGCCGGTTCAAGAGATTCACTGTTTGCTTCTTCTAGCATTCGTGCATGCAGAGTAATACCAAGAAAATTAGAAGAACAAACTCTTCCACACACATACATATGATGTGTTACAACTTTATCAATTCTTTATAAAAAAAGTTATGATGCATTATCACGAAAGCCAGCCGGTAGGCAAGGCTTGAGTTCTTAGGGTGAACGAAGTGAATATTGGGTGTGTGGGGGGGGTGTTCGCACTCTCGCAGATTTTGGAGGTCGAACCCTGAGCCTGGTGGGGGAGAGCGAAAATAAGTAGGGTCAGGAAAGCATCAAAAAAGCGGTTTGGTGATGCAAGTGATGTAAATGACGCCGAGTAGTGCATCATTAGCATCACGAAGGGGTCTGGAGACAATTTTTTGCTTTCTGGAGCATCATTAGCAGAAAGGTCAGGTAGAATGTCAGAAGGTTTGCTGGAGAAAATGTCAGAAGCTTTGCCAGATAAATGTCAGAAGCTACTCATGATGGGGATCACTCGAAATATGTCCGTGATTTTTTGTAGAGCTTTCTTCTTGTAAATTGGTCTTTGAGAAAGAGCACCCAACGACCAAAAGAGTCGAAAGGGTTGGACACCACGGAGGGAGCCCATGCACGACTAACCACCCCCAGAAGAGAATGTCAGAGGATTAGCCAGATAGACTGTCAGAAGATAGTTATGGTGGGGATCACTGGAAATGTCAGCAGATAGTCATGGTGGAGATCACTCGAAAATACCCGAAATATCTCGAAATAACTACGTGATTTCTTCTGTGGCCATCATTAGCAGAAAGGCCGGGTAGAATGTCGGAAGATAAAATGTCAGAAGATTTGCCAGAAAGCATGCCACAAGATATGCCAGAAAAAATGCTAGACGATTTGCCAGATAAAATGTCAGAAGATAGTCATGATGGGGATCACTCATCGAAATAACTAAGTGATTTTATTCTTCTGTGGCCATGTGTGGAAGGCTTCGTGTCAACACGATGCCCGAAATATCGCCGATCACCGCGAAAAGCACATATTTCGGGCATCGCTGTTTTTGTCGTGTTGGCTCACCTATTGTTACTTCTCAGTTCCTTGCACCTTCACCCGGACAATTGGTGGGGATCATTGGAAATGTCAGCAGATAGTAATGGTGGGGATCATTCGAAATAACTATATAAGTGATTTTTTCTGTGGCCATCATTGGCAGAATGCTGCGTGTGCGCGATGGCTGCGCGCACGCTAAGAAAGTCCGTGCGCTTTTGCTGGCTTTCGTCCTCTCTTTTCTCAGGTATGTATTTGATTTTCTAAACCAGGTATACAATACGTCTCTCTCTCTCTCTCTCTTTGATTCTCCCTCTCTAATACGTATGTATTTGTATGTAAATATATTTATGGTATAAATATATAATATATGTGTGTGTATCGTTTTGTATTGTGTATTTGGCACGAATTGTTGCATGCTATCTACTGCAGGTGTTTCGCTTCATCGATGGAAAGCTTTGCTCAGAAACAGAAGCCAAATCTCTTGTAACGCAGCTGGGGGCCCCAGGCTAGAACCTGTAAGAAGTTTGAATGCAAAGAGAACATCAATCCATACCAATGGCATCGGTTGGCCTTTAAAAGGCTTGCAGACCTGGACCTGGAGTATGTGGCGAACAGCTTGAGGCGCGATATGTTGTTTGCTGCTTGGATGGGCGTGGTGTGCCTGAACACAGCAACCTTGGGGAGTCAAGCTTCAGTTGAATGCTCATGTCACAACAATGTAACGACCACGAACTGCAGTGTAGGATGGAAAGCGTCCACATCCAACTTGCTACTACCGCTTCGAGATGTGAATGTCAGCGCAAACAGAAGTGGCGGCCATTGCTGAGGCGCGCTCAAGCCAATCAGTCTTCCTTGCTTTTGGAGAGACAAGAGCAGCTAGAATCCTCAACCATCTTCAGAAGCTTTTGCCGTGAGCTTGTTTAAACCCTCTTTTGAAGAAATAATCAATCCGATCATTGGATAGCGGAGCCACATGGAGCCATGCACCGTCCGTTGTGGGGACCCGTGAAATGAACTTCATCAGTGCAAGGCCCAGGATTTGGAGCCACCAGATGACTTCATGTGCCTGGCCCTCAGCACCAAGCGGACGATGGTCGTGCGTCGCTTGGCACACCGCAGCTCAAAATATTTGCAAGTATTTCGCTGGGGCGTGCGGTGTGCTGCTGTGACATTCAATTGTGCCATGTGTCCATCCATTTCGATGTTTAATCACTTGCTCAAAAACCGACGGTGGTTTGATTGCTAGACTCTGAGTAGCGCACCCTATACATTATAGATGCCCCAGCGATTTTGAGGCTTATTTGATGCTTCTGGAAAGTCAAATAGCTATCATGTAGCTTTGGAACTTGCGTTTCGCATCGTACTTCACATGCAAGTGAGGCTGTGGTGAGGCGGGGTGGGTGATCAAAATACATTTGCACAAATTCGCGCACGCGTGAAAAAGACTTACAATGGCAAATCACCTGAGTCATCGTCCTGCGGCGGAGATGTTTCATCCTTTTGGCAGGTGGCTGCCTGTGTTTTGGCCGGTGGACAGGCGACGCAGCTTGGCTTTGTGCAGGGCTCAGATTTTGAGATGCCTGTTTGTTCCGCTTGAGTTTCTCTGCGGGGCTCGGGTGTTCGCTTGCTGGAAGCTGCGTCAGAATCCAAGCACAGGAATTCTTTGCTGTTTTCAGCTTTTTGGGGCTCAGACATACTAGTAAAAGCAGCTCAAAGCTTCTTTGGCAGATGACTACCGAGACCTTGAAGATCAGTGATGGCAGCAGCATGGAGATCACTCGGGTGCCCGATATCGATGATGAGACCTGGGCAGAGGTGAAGGCCTACGTGGAGGCAAACCCTGAGACTGCCAAAGCCCTGCAAGGCTTTGCCAAGAATCCTGAAGCTATGCGAGGCTGGCTGCAAACTCAAGCCATTGCTGAGCACTACAACAACAAGCTCAGCAGTGGTGATGCTCCTGTTCAGGACAAGATGAAGGCACTGGAGTCTGATGCAGAGTTAGGACCAATCTTCGAGGACATCAAGAAGAATGGCATAGAAGCAGCCATGAAGTACTACCAGGATGAAGAGCTGATGCTGAAGATCAGCCAGAAGATGGGTGGCTTGCCATCAGAGCTTTCACCTGTCCTGCAGAAGATTGAAGATACAGCAATGACTTTGCACGAGGCTGCGAAGCGAGGTGATGTAGGAGCGGTGAAGAGCTTTCTCGACAAGAAGAAACCACTCGATTCGCAGGATCACAAGGGCATCACTGCCCTGGGCTATGCCATTGGTGCCAACAGGATTGCTGTGGTGAAGCTGTTGTTGGACAGCCGTGCCAACCCCTATGCGGTCGACAGCTCAGGCAACAGTGGCCTTCACTATGCTGCAGGCTATGGTCGCAAGGAGCTCTTGGAGTATCTTTTGAAGGTCGGGGCCAACGTGAACCAGCCGAATGCTGAGGGTGTCACACCTCTTGCTGCAGCGACGCAGAATCGCCAGGAAGCCACCATCCAGGTTCTCAAGGCCCATGGTGCACAGTAAGGGGTGGCACCTTCGGAGCCATCCTGCAGCTGCTGGTGATCACATGGGGCCCATATGATGCCCATGTCATCTATTTTTAGAGTTTCCTTTCATGGAAAGCCCCTGCAATGCAGGGGCCCCAATCCTGCTCATTTGCTGGCGCCTACTTCAGCCGAATCCTTCGCATAGGCCAAAAGAAGTGTTTCCTCTACGCGTTCTCCGATTTGGTCACGAAACACCGGTTCGCATGTCTCTGATGATGGATCCTATAGTGGTCCGAGTGATGGGTCCATCCAGTATGCGTGGGACCGAGGATGGGCCGAAAGGCTGTTATGAGATTGGCCTGCCTTCGAAAAAGCCCTTGTTCCAGATCTTCGCCCAGAGCTCCTGTGACGAACAACGACCGAAGGGGAAGAGAAGAGAACTTGGTGCGCCTGGTGCGCTTCGTTTTGGTTCCTCACGTGTTGTCACATCATGTTGTTCCAGTCGAAGGCACCTGCCAAAAAATCAACATCGAAGAACAGTAAATCGATGCCTCTCAGAAGTGTGAGAAGGACACCAGCGAGGTCACCCTGTTTGACCCCGTGAGAACCCGAGAGAACCTGTGGACCTCGGATGACCCCATAGAAACATTTGCCGTATGAGGGCTTCGATTTTTGCAGGGCTCCTTGCCACAGTCTCACGGTTGACGGTTGACTTGCTTTTGGAACGCCAGAGCTGCAGGCTCACAGGTTGGTCGCCTTTGTATTGCGTGGTTGCTTGCATTCTTTTTTGTGTTTGTTTTGCATTTCTTTGTCCCATTGCATTTCCCCGCTGCAATCTTTCTTTGGGATATTTTTCATGGTTGCTTTCGGTGCAGCGAGCCTATATACAAGTGGGCAACACAAACATAGTTAGCTCCAAAAGACTTGCCTGACACCACAAACTGGCAGAATGCATGGCAACAACAGGATTCGTGTTGGCGTGTTGGCAATCATTGGCATGTGGATTGTTCTCATTTGAGTCTGAGAGTTTGATCTCGAGCTGGGCCTTACCACTTTCGGGGGGGTCATTTCGCTGTTGCCTTGCTGAGCTCTCAGGTCGTCGTCGCTTTCCTCATGTATCAAGGCAGAAGTCTCTCAGAAGCAGTGGACCAGGTCACGAGGTGCAGGGGAAGACGTTTGCGCATCAACCCTTCGTTCTGGATGGTTCCTCGGCCGAAGTGCGGAACTAG